ACTTGAATATGCCTTCAACACCATTCTTGGGACCCTAGGAGTTCATCACTTTCTCCATCAACATCAGCAGGGGAGACTTCAACCTCTTGTATAAGTTCTTCTATGTCGCAAAAGAGTACTACAAAATATGGAAATCCAGATTGTTGACCATGACTGTGATCAAGCTGCTGGAGTATTTCCCTGTCCCTGAGGGCCATATAACAAGTATCAACATTTCCATATTTGGCCAATTCGTTTTGCACTACTCTTTTCCGTTGATGAAGCTATCAGGAACATCCAATAACATCTCCTTGAGACCTTCACCAAGCACCAATCTTGAGAACAGAGACTGGTGTTGAGGTCCAATCCGACCATGGAAGGAGACAGAGTAAAACTTCACTGCCCTGTTTTTGAGCCAGAACAGATTTTTGAGGAAGCAAAACTACAAAAGATTGGTTTATATAGCCAATTTCATGTGCTATACAATACCAATGCATGTGATTTCATTTTGGATAAATAATCTTTATTCATTTCTGTTTACTCTATAATATGGCCTCTTTTTGGTTTAGAGCATTAAGACATTCAGGTGTTCTTATCCCTTTTCCAAATGCAACCCTTTTTGTCTAATCCTGTTGGAACTATAGGATTCTGAGTCAAAATAAATGCACAGCCTAAACCATGTATTTTTCTACCATGCCAAGAGTCTTATAATCTGAGTTTCTTATTTGCTTGACTTTTCTTGTTGATTCAAATTTACCAAATATTATTATCTATAGTTAGTGTATTTAATCCAATGTTAAATGTTAAATATTATCTTTTTATTTTGTAATTTATTGTTGAAGTTTATAATGGCATGAAATGAACCTAACATGGGTATTTTACGCAATAAGAAAAATATGTATTTTATAAATGTCAAAATGGGGATATTTTCCATGTCCAAATTAAATAATGATGTATATACGCTTTTACAAAATTTAAGGGATGGATCATCCATAATGCAACAATTTTAATGTGCAGAGTTTGACGGACTGTGATTAAAATCTCAAGAATTATTATTATTTTTGAAATATACCTTTTTCCAACTTTAACTCATACATTGAAATGCATCACATTTTGTTTTATCAACTCTTCTAATTTAAGTGGTAATTTCTTTTCAAAAACTTGGAATTCCAAGCAAAAAATTTTGAGTTCGGATTACGTAAAAAAATGAAATAAGAAAAAAGATTGTTCCTTAAATAATTCGTTGAAGACAAAAAAAAAATTTATTGTGATTAGATAAAATTTTAGGATTAATTTCCTTTTGGTTTGTGATTACTTAAAAATTAATAGTTTAACAAATGAGATGAATTATCTTTTATTCTTTCCCCTTTGTGGTGTTTATTATTAATAAATCTCTTTTCTCACTTGGCCGTGATACGGGTCCAAACTTGCTGCAAAGACTTTTCATTTCTCCTGGCACGGTATTCTCTAACCACGAAATCAACCACCAAAAACTTATACGCAGAAGGCCCCACTGCGCACGTAGCGCGCAATACAAACTTCCACCGTGACCGAGATTTTGCAGTAGAAAGAAATTCAGAAGAAACAGAAGCACAGAAAAAGAAGAGGAAGAAAAAAAAGAAAGAAGAAGGCAGAGAGAGATGTGGGTATTTTACCTGATCTCGTTGCCTTTAACCCTAGGCATGGTCGTTTTCACCTTGAGGTACTTCGCTGGCCCCGATGTCCCTCGATACGTTCTTTTCACCGTCGGATACGCCTGGTTCTGTTCTCTCTCCATCATCATCCTTGTCCCCGCCGATATCTGGACGGTAATTTTTTTTGAATTTCCATTTGAGGTTTTGTTTTATTTAATTGATCGTCTCCTTTTGGAAATTAGGGCTAAGTTAATATTAAATTTTATGCAGACGATATTGAAGCCGGAAAATGCCAGTGAATATGGAGTCATATCCTTCTTTTGGAGCTGGTCCTATTGGGGTACCTTTCTTCTTACTTGGTAAGTTTCGTCAATTTTTTATTTGATTTTGCAGGAATTTAGTTACGGTTCGTTAGATTGCTTAATCTTATTGATGATTGCCTGTTTTTGGAACTGACATTCTTTGGCAATATGCAAATTTATATTCTGGGTTGGTTTTCTTTATTACCGCATATGATTAAATTTTCTATAAATCTTTTCAAAAATCCTTTATTCGCGATGTATATATGTTGTCAAGTTTTTAGATTTACCTCTTGTGCTCCCTCTGAAGGTTAAAAAGCTAAGGTCAAAATAATTTCATGTTGTTGTGATTTTGCTGCTATTTTGTCATGTGAGCCAGAAATCAGAATGATTTATGGTTCTACTTATCCTTTTATTGTATCATTCTGTGTGTTAGTTTTTTTGCAAGTAGAGATGATTCTTTTAGATGGTTTTACAGATTGTATTGCATTTCCTCATATATTTAAATTATGCTATCTCTAAGCAGGGCTGTGGTGCCCCTTATTCAGGGTTTTGAAGACGCTGGAGACTTCTCAGTGATTGAAAGATTGAAGACTAGTGTGCATGTCAACTTAGTCTTCTATTCAATTGTGGGTTTTATTGGCCTTGTGGGACTTATTCTGCTCATCACAATGCACAGGAACTGGTACACTTTTCTTTCTTTTTATATATCGTATTCTTTGGTTTATTACAGTCTTTCCGATATGGTCTTGGTTGTCTTATAAATGTTAGGATTATACTGAAAGTTGTTTCAAGGTTTTATATCTTTTAAGTCTCTGGCATCTTTAGCCTCACTTTTTCATCCCCTATGTGCTGAATTTGCATATCTAGACCAGATATGTTACATGCAGATGTAGATGTCTGCCAACTGATAAATTCTACAAAGTATAGAAAAGTGGACATGGCAGACTTTTCCTTATTTATTAGTTGACAAAATGTTAATATATCTTGTCACCTGATAACAGGAGTGGTGGTGTCCTCGGTTTAGCTATGGCCTTGTCGAATACATTTGGGCTTGTTACTGGTGCATTTCTTCTTGGCTTTGGCTTGAGTGAAATTCCCAAGAGCCTTTGGAGAAATGCAGATTGGACGATCCGCCAAAAAGTCCTATCTCATAAAGTTGCCAAAATGGCTGTGAAGCTTGATGAAGCCCATCAGGAATTTTCAAATGCTATTGTGGTATATGCTATCCCCATTGTAGTTTTAAATTTTCTTTCCCATCCGCCCACCTACTTCTAACCAGATCATTGTATGCACACACATACACGTATGTGTCGCCTAGTAGAATAATGTATGGTCTTAATAATTGTGCATATGCATAACATGATCTCTCTGTCATTTACTCACACACATGCATGCAGGCATGCCCACAGGCATATTTGCTTATGTTTACATTTGTGGAAGTGAATTAATTTGGAGTTTCCACATGCAATGAGCAATTGGTTTATCAGCAGTTTACCAATGTCTCTCATTTCTTTCCTCAGAGGCTAAACATTCTTTATTTATTGTTGTGTCAAACGATATAGTTTATTTTGTCTAACTGGTTATTTGCTGTATCAGGTTGCCCAAGCAACATCCAATCAGATGTCCAAGCGTGATCCTTTGAGACCATACATGGATGTTATTGATAATATGTTAGCTCAAATGGTATTTTCTTTTTGTTTATTTCCAAACTTTTCTATGAACAAGGTACTCTTTTTGGGAATTTTGCATGTGACTTTGTATGCTTCATTTATTCTCCAGTTTAGGGAAGATCCATCCTTTAAGCCACAAGGTGGTCGGCTGGGAGAAAATGATATGGACTACGACTCGGATGAGAAATCGATGGCAACACTCAGGCGTCATCTTCGGTTGGCTCGAGAGGAATATTATCGGTACAAAAGGTAAATTGGATGCTGATTTTATAATTTCAGTTTGTTATCAACCCAGAACGTTGTTTATTTCAAGTTATACACCATCTTCAAACTTTTTTAAATGTGCTTGGAAAATGAATCCTTTAATCCGCTCTTTTTGTGAATTTTAGTTGATTTCGTTGCAGGAGTAAGTTGTGTTCTTCATTTTTAGATTTGAATAGGGTGCACAGAAGCTTTCAATGTAATGGTGTGTTCGGAACATTAGCTATTTTGCATCTGACACATGGTTGGTTTCACAGTGAGTACATGACCTATGTCTCTGAGGCCCTTCAACTAGAAGACACCATAAAAAATTATGAACGCCGCAGTTCAACCGGATGGTTTTCTTCTAACCTTGTTTTCTTCTGTCCATTATATTTTTATGAATGTCTAGTTGTTTTTTTTCAACCTTTAATGTTCCTATATGATGTCATTTCAGGATATATGTTTCAAGTTTCAGACCTGGTCGCTCTGGGAAAACAGGAACATTCGTAGATTCAATAGGTAATTAGATCTTTATTGATTTCGTGTTGTTGTATACTAGTAGCGTTGACCTTGTTTCATGATGCTTTGCTTATGTTACGTTTTTGGATGACCCAACATCTTTTATTTGTTTTCTTTTTCTCACTTTCTCTTAAAGGATATATTGGTGTGATCATTTGAAACTAATACTCCAAATTCTCTTTTGGTTTTTGCTGATTTCTAAGTGTGGATGTGTTATGCTTGGCCTCAAATTAATATTATCAACTCTTCTGAAAGAAAGCGGTTTTTTGGATGGTTCTTGAACTTGGGCATGGCCCTTAAGGGTTGCGTAAAGTGGCACTTTGTTGGCTGATTTTCATTTTGATGTAATGTGATGCTGTCTCTTTTTGTTGAGAATTTACTTGCAGAGAATTTTAGAAGAGCTAGCAAACCAAGAGTTAAAACAGCCCAAAATGCCTTTTTGTTATGTTTGATTGGGGTAGCTTTGTTGGAGAAGTGATTGAATATATATATATATATATATATATATATATA